TGCCCGCCCGCGTTCAGATGACCAAAAAGTAAAAACCTAATTCTTAGGTTTTACATATTAGTATATTCTTAGGGAGGGAGGGGGACTGGGCTTAGTTTTTGTGACGAAATAATGCTAGGAAGGGGGGGAGAGTTGGTCAAAAAAGCCGATTTAAGCGTGACTTATTTTATGAACGGCCCCATATGTATAAATATATAAATTGTAATAAAAAAATCGAAAATAATAAAATACTACGCACATAACATGTCTAAACGCGCCGACGACACGCCTATCTTGGACGTACAACAACTGCTCACATTATGCACTGATAAATTCATAAATGCAGACCGCTTGCGTTCATATCGACATAACAGCGTGTCAAATGCACCTCGACAGCGCGTTAAAATGTCGCCATGAGCCATTAATACATAAAAAAAAAACTTAAAAAAAATTGTTAGTGTCTCTAAAACTTATTGCTTGCAACAAATATTAAATACTATGTTATCTGTGTGAAAGAAAAAGCACTATAGAAAACCACATAGTATACACATGTTACTAAATAATAATATTAAAAATATTAAATTTGAATGATACCAAACAAAAAATAAATAAAAACTCCGTTTTATCAAAAGTGGCATAGTCAAGTTTTGACAAGAAGCCCCTCATATATTATAAACGTCGGAAAGAAGGTAAAGAGTCAGCAATGTCAGTATGAAACAATATCACCGTACAATTCGAAGCCACGACACGTACAACTCATGCCCATACTAAGGTGGTGTACTTACTTAACTTACAAACTAAACGAAGATAACTTGTTCGATTTCATGTAATCCTCAATATACAATAAACACGTATGCGACATACAGAGATGCAAAATGCACTTTAAATTCTTAAAATTTAATGATTGCGTTCATAATTCATAATTAAATACATGGAAAGTTTCATTTATAACTTAAGGAATGAATGATTAACCGTGTCCCATTGAATGATAATGTCACGTGACCGGCTTGTATGCACCCATAGATTAACATAGATATAATATAATTAAATGAAATTCTGAAAAAATATATATATATATATATATATATATATATATATATATATATATATATATATATATTATTAAAAAAAAGTTTATTTTAAATAATTAAAAATTATGATTATCTGTGTCGCTTTTTAATCTGTATACCTTTTAGCATACAATCCGGTCTTTGCTGTCATAATTAATATTGCATAACAAATACGTACACACGTTACTAATTACAGGATATACATAGTGTTTTCTAAATATATTTTTGATATACATTAAATATTTTCAATGTTCAACAGATGTACGACTATAATACTCAAAAGCGAATACGTTTCTTTAAAAAAATGTATAAGCCACATATCTAACATGAATATACAAATATCGATACAATTCGTATCCGGAGTAAACCGAATCACCATATAATATGTCGACAGTACTCATAACTTAAATGAATATTATTTTATTTCAAATCCCTCAAAAACATTTATTCGACATAATATGTTACATTTAAAAAAAAAATACATATTTGAAAACTTATAAATAATTAACTACCTAGTCATTAAATATATGTATAAGTGAAAGAAAAAGCCAGCTAATTTTGTGTTTAAAACCATTTTGAATCTGTCTACGAAGGATACGAATTGTGGTCACCTATAACCTTTAACAGATAATCAATATCTAAAGACAAATCTAAATTAAGTAATCGCTCAATTGATCTACAAATCTCTTCTTTATCTTCAATTCACAACCCTATCACATATGTGATTAAATCCATTACTCAATACTGCTTCTAAGAGAGCTAAAACATTTTTCGCTTTATGGTCATACTAATTTGTATGAACAATGGTCTCTCCAGTGACCATGATTGCTGTAAAGCATTCGAAACGTCGGGAAACAAAAATCAAAATAAATCCGCGAAAAAATCCCAAAAGATAATTGTAATTAAAATGTCATATATTCGCGTAAATCTAAAAAAGTATTTATTTAAAAATTCGCATGAAGAATATATAGACAAGGAGTCCTGTCTCCATAAGGTTTCATATGAGAAATTCGTCCGCAAAAATTTTGAGAGCTATAGTTCTAGAAACTGCCACGAGTAGCGCTGATTACGTAGTTACCGAGAATTTAGCTGTACGTAGCGCGAAGTTAGTGATAAACGAGTCAAGTGTGAATTTAATAAATTGAAATAGAATTATGTATGTTTCTTTAAAACTTAGTTATTTTGAACAGGTTGTTTACATGCAAATAATAAATATATTTTTTTACATTCTTTATTACGATATTTGAATGTACTGGAAATCCCTTACTTCTTATGACATAGCGACCGCATTGCTCTCTGCTCCCAAAATTAATTTTCAAATTTTTAGGACAACTTTTACATACAGAGATTGAACTCCTTGTTCTTCTTTTCATGTTAATTCGTGAGATCATTCATTTGGGAAAGATTTTTCGGGTAAGTTTTAACAATCCATTTGAAAAATGTACGCTACAGGACGAATATTTCTAAGTTGTAAATCATTGCCAATTTTTCTTGTAATTTTTTATAGATGAAAAAAAAAACAAAAATAAATGATCTCACGCAAAAGTAACGCCCTACGTTGCAAGTCACAATTGCAACCATCGACAATTAAATACATGGATTTTAAAACGATATTTAAAGCAAATATCATTTCTAACTTTATATGAAGTTTTAGCAAAAAAAATAATTGCCCACTTGAGGATGTCAACAACAACAACAGTTATTCAATGTCAGTATTGCCATGAGATCGCTTTCAAAACTAGTAATTTTTGAACTGGCAATATTGCATAAGCTAAGTATAGTGACTGAAAAAAAAACACCTAAGTATTATATAAAAACACCGACTTCTAAAGTGATAAAAAATTACTACCTACATAATCAATATGTGAGTGAAATATGAATATTTTGAAGCACAAAGGTGACATAATAATATAAATATTATTAATAATAATTTTTCCTAGCCCATTTCGAATTTAATTTGTCGCTTATTTTACCTTTTTTTCTCCGCAACAAAGGTTGCGAGTAATTGCATTGAGTTGCGTAATTTTTTGACATAACCACTAGTTAAATCGTTGGAATAAATTTTTTTTGATTCAAACAGAGCGTTTAAAGTATACAAAAAAAAACAAAGAAAAGCCTGTAAACCACGTTTGAAATCATTAATTATCAGAATTATTGATGTGAGCTGAAACATTTTTTATGTATTTAAACATATCGATAAAGTTTGTTATAAAATTTAAACAATTATATTATGCTGTTCATAAATTAATTTAATAAAATGAAAAGTCATTGACATATTATATTAACAAGTTGGTTTGAGATAAAAAAAATATTTGTTTGAAAATATTTTATATATTATAGTTGATAAAATGAAAATGTCCGATAAATTTAAAAAAAAATTGTGTATTCTTTGAAAAATGTCAAAATAAAATCTATTTCAATAGGGAATATGCGTGTAATTTAAATAAAGGTGACATATATTTCTTTATAATCTTTATCGCTTTTGAATTAAACCTATATCATTAATATATATTTTTAAAATAATTTTGTTTTCATTAAGAAAATAATTGTTAAAAAGTGCAAAAACAAGTGGGAAATTCAAAGTAGTTGAAACGCAACGCCATTGGTCAGAATATGACGTCAAAGTCCATAATAACAGAGCTTGTTGTTTAGTACTTTTAGACCACTTCACTCGTTGTCATAGACTATGACGTCACGTCAAGCGCGCTAAAATGGCGGGCGTTTAAAGTATCTGTATGATATTTTGAAAACTATTTTTATACAATACTTTTAGTTTTTAGGAGCTGGATATTTTTTTTACAATTATATAACGATGTAAGCTATTGTATTATAAATAAAAAACAAAAAAAAAACGCATATTCCCTATTGCTGTGCATACCAGAGACAGATATTGGACATAACTGCTTAGAACATACCTTCTAGTAGGGTTGAGTATCGAGAGACATGTTATTTATTTTAGTTAATCAACGTTGGTATCTTATCACAATATAATACCAACGTATATTCAAGTTACATTTGGACCAACTTCGGTACTGTATTTATTATTATATATAAAAAACGCCGCCATTTTGGTTTTAATTTCACCATTTTGGTTTTAATTTAATGTTAAATGATATATCCACTTCTTCAACTCATGGTGGAAATAGGTGGTAAATATATAGGGGGTAGTGTGAGGCTCTTGCGTGTATAGAATTAGAATGCGAGTACCACGGCACTATAGCCTTCAGGAGATGAAGGAACGACGAAAGAAATAAGGGTTGCAGTAAATATTAATAGAATGTAACATGGTAACTGAATGTGGTCATATGTGTAAGGCAGTGGTAGCTCAGTGGTAACGCGCTCGCTTGAGAAACCGAGTGAAGCGAGTTCAAATCCCGGGTCACGCACCTCTGATATTTTCATGTGCGAATCATTTCCAACATGATTACCACTTGTCTTAACGGTGAAGGAAAACATCGTGAGGAAACCTGCATGTCTGAGAGAATCTAGCAAGTTTTCAAAAGACATGTGAAGTCCGCCAACCCGCACTTGGCCAGCGTGGTGGACTATGGCCTGATGCCCCTCGTACTGAAGGGAGGCTCGTGAATGTGAGTACCAGGGTGGTATAGACTGGTGGTGGTAATCTTAGATTGGCTGAAGAGGTCGGTGTAAGAAAGGTACTTGTTGATGAATTAAAAGTACCAGAGCAACATAAATTGCAGGCGTTATTCGGATATCTATTGGAGGTAAGTGGATACGAGTATCAAAAGAGCGTCAACTGCACGGGATATTTGTGTTAGGTATTGGATAAAAGTACCAGGGCAGCATAAACCGCAGGCGATATTTGTAGCAGATAGTGGATACGAGTATCAGGAGTGCATCAACTGCAGGCGTTATATGTGGCTGGTATTCGATACGAGTATCGGGACGATATTTGTGGCAGGTAGTGGATACGAGTACCGGTTGAGCCTATGTGGAGAGGTAGAGGCGGTGGTAGTCGTTGGCGCCGAAGGCCGCGTTGCACTTGGGACACTTGCGCTGGCGAGTCTCGTAGCGCGTGCGCAGACAGTCCCAGCAGAACACGTGGAAACACTTTGTTAGCACTGCGTCTTTGCGTTTCACCTGCAAATTAATATTCTTTGATAAGGAGTAATACAGATTATGATATGATAGTTTTAATTTAATATCGATAAAAAAATAATTACAAAAGACAGGGAAATACATCAATTATTTTGTAATTAATCATTTTTTTAAGTACAACAAAATATCTCAATCATTTTATAATCTTACACAAAATCTATTAATTTTTAAGCAGATATAAATATTAAATATAGGCAAGTCAATAAGGTAATAACGTCATAATATATATTCAACATTAAATAAAAAAAATAATCATCCAAAAGTTTTAAACATAGCACTCATACCTTGCATGAGGGGCAAGTGAGTGTTTCCTTGTACTCGCGTATCTCCTCCAGCAGCACTTCGTCCATGCTGCTGCCGGCCTGCTCCATCTTCTTCATACGTTCTGCTTTACGCCGAAGGACCGCTAACTCCTCCTAATCATTAAAAAAAAAACAACTTTTAGAGAAGTTACATGATGTTGTTAATAAAATATTAAAAGGAATTAAAATAAAGATCAAAACTAATAAATCATTGTTTTTTTTTTAACCTATCAATAAAAAAAGTGGGTGGGCGCGGTTGAAGCAAAACTTCTTTGGCAAATATCGCAATTAAATTAAAACAAATCAATAATTAAATAACGCATAATAGGCATATTACAATCATATATTTATAGAATATAGTATACGGAAAGAAAATAGTGATAAATATTTGTCAGACAATAACAACGGTTACTATGGCAACATGGCAAGGTATTCTATCTCATTCTCTCGCCGGCTTAATCCTACATATTTGTGTTTGTCCCTTTTAGTGTCGCAATTCCGTGTCATCAAGTTTAAAAAACACAACGATTCTAAAGAAGTTTCACTTCAATAATTGAAAAATTAAGTTTAAGCACTTTAACGCACAACGATTGAGGTCTTTCACTCGAGTCTGACGTCATTTTATTTAACAGAGATCGTCGCACCACAAAATATGTATATAAAAATGGCTAAATTATTTCTAAATTCACGTGAACTGTCGCAGTGTTACTGTTATTTTACTTACAACTGCTTGTTTTCTTTTAAATTATTGGTAGATTATTGGTAGAGATTATTGTTGGTCCCAACATATTTATTTATTATTATTTACTATATATTCAAGCAAACAAAAATAGCCCGAAGAATAGCCCGAATTAGCGCTGTCAAATATCTTTGCATGGGATGAGGCATCTGTATACAAGTATAGTGAGATTGTGTATGCACTTACATGTAACCGTTTCGTCTTGTACGCCTCGGCCTCGAGCGCGCTGGTCTTCTCCGCCACCACTTGTTGAGCTTCCTTCATTTGCGCGTGGTACTTTTCTAAAGATAATCATTAAAATTTTAATAATACCTTTTAACAGGCTTATTTATATTTAAAATTCAATACATTTTAGTTAACGTCGTATTTTGAACCAAAGTTGTAAAGAAGATAAAATATTAATCCTCACAAAAGATAGGACAATTTATTCATGTATTGTAATAATAGGAATAATAAAATTAAAGACATATTAATAATAATTTATTATTAATAGGTTAATTTAGATTGTACTCTGTTTTAAAGCAAAATATTTTGATTATTTTTTTCAACAAGACTTAAATAAATTCTCATATATATGTGTTTCTTAACTTTTAATAAACTTTCGTATACACTAAGAATATGTCTGTCCATTAATAAACTTTGTACTCTTTAACCGATTTTAATAAAAGAGGTAAACAAATATTATTATTTTTATCATTTTCTTCTCAAAAAAAGAACGCAGAAACAGCAAGGTACTACTATTTTTAACTTTGACATTTATTGATGGATGCCGTGTCTATAGACATTATATAATAATTCCTTAGTCTGTTGGGACATTAACACACAGCACCATCTAGTTCCATGGTAAGCTACGAGGCTCGTGTTATGGATACCAGATAGTTACACATATATAACTTTAAATACATACCTACATATTACAAACATAAACACCCATGACTGGAGTACAAACATTCGTGCTCATCACAAAAATGAATGCCCTCAGCGGGACTCGAACCCGCGACAGCTGGCACAGCAAGTATGGTTGGTCACTACAAACGGAGCTAAACGTGTCGTGTCTTTACCATGTTGTCACCCTAAGGTGGTTCTCCTTCTGTCTCCCCTCCATGATGTATGTATGTGTAGTGTACAACATACCGAGATGCAGCTTGAGGTCGGCGGCGCTCTGCGCCGACTCGATGGCCTTGCGCTTGTGCATCTCCATGGCCTGCTGGCGCAGCAGCAGCTCCTTCTCCACGGCGGACAGCGTGTTCTGCAGCAGCCGCTCCTTCTCCTCCAGGCGGCGCGCCACCAGCCCCATAGACTCGATCTGCTGGTCTCGGGTCACCACCTGGCCGGACGGCATTCGTTAAAACCACATTTTTTTCAAGCCGATGTAAAGCAAATCTAATATATTTCGATACGTAAAATACAACACAAATTGATGTATGTATAATATTTTAACTATAATTAAAGTTCATATCTTAAAATATTGTCGGCTGGCATTTTTGTATGTATATTTATATAGAAGTTGTCTGAAAGAAATTGCTCATAGCAATAAGATCGCCTTTGCATGCCTTTTGTTATCTTTCTTTTCATTTTATGTATTATCCTGTAACCCTTTTTTCCATCAAGTATTTATAAATAAATAAGAAACATCCTAAGCTAACCTGTTCCTGCAACAGCTGCTTCTCTTCCCTCAGCAGTTTGTGTAGAGAGTTGGCCTTGATGCGTTCCGACATGAGCTTGAAATTGGCGTCATCCTTCTCCCGCAACTGCTGTATGAGCCGTGAGTTCTGTTCCTGCATATCCTCGAACGCCTGTCCCGTCACCTCCATCTCGTTCAGCAGGGCTTCTTCTTCCTTCAAAATAGTTAAAATAAGATAATTAAAAATTAGTTTGAAACTAATAATAATAATGACGTCCCGACCGACTCCGGTCACGGCGGCCAGTCTCATTGAGACTAGCCATCTGCGCAGGAGATATTATAGCGCAGACACAAGTGCACTCAAATTTGATTTTACATATATAATGCCCGTTTCATATACCTACCCCCTACACAATGAATATTTGCACAAAGTTTCTGAGCTTAAAGCACTTAAACATATTGTAAACATGAGTTTTATAATAATGTATGGAAGCCTGATTTGTTGACATTTATAATTACTGCTCCGCTGCCTTGGGTAGTAGCATGATAATATATATAGCCTATATCCTTCCTCAATAAACGGGCTATCTAATGCAAAAAGACTTTTTCAAATAGGATTAGTAGTTCCTGAGATGAGTGTGTTCAAACAAATAAACAAACAAACAAACAAACTCTGCCTATTTATAATATTAGTATAAATTTACCCAAAACATATATAACTTTCATACTATTATTATTTTATTCTCATTAAATCTCTGACAAAATGTAATCAGACATCTTTATAATTCTCATATGTGTATATGCATTAATCTTTTATTATTATCTTATAACATTAAACAAGCAATTCTTGTATACATATATGTAATTAAATTTATTTCCTGTATCTTCAAAATGACACTAACAATTTGGATCAAGTTTTGTATTTAGATAGGGTTTTGCTTTTTAAGTTACTTACACATTAAAGACGATTAAAAAAACATATATTCATAATTAAATTTAATTGAATAATAATAAATTACGTTTAATAGTTTATTACCTGTGAACCAGCAAATGGCCTGGAGAAAGCATGGAGAGGGTCAGCATTGGGTCTCGCACACGACAACTGCTTCTGCAGTTCATATTTTTGTTCCTCCAGTTGCTTTATTTTTCTCAACGCATCTTCATCTGCAAGCCGCCTTTCACGCTTGCTTTCCTGACAAAATAATAATAATAATGAAAATTGAAAACATGATTATCAAACAATTTTATACAGAATTGTAAACTTTCCAAACCAAACAAATTTCATCTATATCATCTTGATCTACACTAATATTATAAATGTGAAAGTTTGTGAGTATGTTTTTTACTCTTTCACGCCAGAATGGCTGAACGGATCTGGATGAAATTTGGCACAGTGATAGATTATAGTCTGGAATAACACATAGGCTACTTTTTATCCCGAAAAAATGTACGGTTCCTGTTTGATAGGTTTGTTTTTGTCTTCCTAGACGTGAACCCGAGCGAAGGGAGGGTTAGCCGCTAGTATATAAAATAAACTAGCGACTCACCCTCTTACATTTTTACGTTTAGTATAGATTTCTCACAGATGAGATATTTTCCTGCAGTAAAAAGTATCCTATAAGCTGACCCGGATAACCAATCCTCCAGCTATCATCATACCAAATTTCATCAAAATCCGTCAGTGGTTATCTCGTCATGCGGTCACAAACAGACAGCCACAAAAATTCTAAAAACTATAGATTCAGCCTCTGCATCGATAATAATGACTATTCCAATAAGATTTTCGAAAAAAAATATTAAATGAACAGATTCGACTCAGTATTTTATATACAGGATGGTTCAAGAAGTGACGTCATGATTTTTTTTAGGTTCCTCACATCTGAGTGTATCCGAAAATACCCTATGTATGTACCGCGATTTTTCGTAGTTTAGAAGTTATTATTTTTTTAATGTGTATTTGCGTATTTTCTACCGGAGCAAATTAAAAAAAATCATAACTTGTTTAATAGTAAAAAAAATTTGGTTTCTTTTTCTGCAACATGATCGTCGTGAATCACTGTTTGATACAAAACAATTTCAAAAAAAATTGTCGCTAATCGTTCAATTTGAGATTATTTGAAATTCTTTTGACAATTCCTTACTAATGTTGGTGATAAGGTTGAAAAAAATAGCTAAAACATTTTTTTTCTATTTTTCACCTAACAAGGTTTGGAAAAATCATTTTTTCGTTATCGTCAAATATATATACATCGTTCATCGCCTATGAAGAACCATTTTTTTATTATTTGGTAAGCTGATACATTGCTGAAGTTTTAAAAGTACTTTGAATCTATGAAACTTCTGTATTGTTAAGAGAATTTTGAAAATGTAACTCCGTCCACTCAAACCTAAAATTTTCCCTTTTGACCCCTTTTTCGGTATCTTATAATGAAGAACGTTGTATAGTTAATTACAACGTATCAAAACACAATTAGCCCCCACCTGCGCCATCTTGGCCTTCTGCCGGTGGTCCTCCAGCTCCTGGCGCGCCTTGCGCTCGGCCGCCATCAGCTGCACCTTGTCGCGCTGCTCCTTGCCCACGCCCTTGTACATGTCCAGCAGCAGCTTCAGCTCCTTCTGCTCGTTCACCGCCTTTCTGTCGGTACACGTACATATAAATACATCAGTTATTAAAAGTTCCTTCGTCGAACAATTCAATATTTCAATATTTAAATGGATTTTTAATTATTTCAGTATTCCTACATTTTAACCCTGGACCATGACCAGTCTCTCCTGTAACCATGATTGCTGTATAGCATTCATACTGTAAGCAACGTTGAACCAAAAATCTAAATAATTACGCGCAAAAAACCCGAAAATATAATCTTATTAAAAATGTCAAATATTCGAGCAAATCTAAGAAAGTATTAAGTACTTCTAATAATAGCTAATAAGTAATAACATTTATATTAAATTTTGAATATATTATATATAGGTAAAATTGTGATTTTAATCGTTGAAATACATCAATAATACTTTATTAAGCATCCATTTAACAAATTTACAGTTCTCTTACAGCTACAGGTACTTCAAACTCAGATCTTGCTAATATTAAATGAGCAAAGGTGTATACATTCCACCAAATGTAAGCATTCCACGCAAAATCGGACGGTTTATTATGGAAGGCCCACTACCGGACTGGGCTTAAATAATTTAAAATAGAAAATTTTCAAAAAAATCGAAGGATACACACAGTTTTAAAAACACGATGGAAACTTAGAATTCAAAAATCTCGATAAAAAACTTTTTAAATATGTTTCTATATATTTTTATTTTTCGTAAAGGACAAAAAAATTGAAAAAAAAATTGGACCCGACGAGTTGAAAGCCGACCATTATTAAGTTATGAGCAAAAAAAAAACAAAAAAAGAGCGGTTTTGAACCAGTGATCAAAAAAATCTCAAAGTCTACCAGGAAACCTCTTTTGAGGATTACTAAAAATACCAAAATATTAATAAAATAAAAGATAAAAATTTTGGAACCATCCAATTTGGTGTGGAATGCCCATATATTGTTAATTTTTCAGGCAACATTTGTGAAATTATTCCGATACAATGAATTAATTGTATGTAATGCAAAGTTACTTGCTACAAATTAAAAAAAAACTAATATATAAATTACAATCAGTATATTAGCATACTTGATCTGCTGCTTCAGGTCCTTAATGAGCTGGTCCTGCTCCTGCAGCTTGAGGCGGCCGTGCTCCTTGCCCTTCAGCTCGCCGCACGCGCCGCTGCCGCCCTCCTCGCCCTGAGATATCACATTTGTTATTATTTAGTAGGGTCATAATTTCAGAACTAACTGCCTCGGTGGTGTAGTCGCTAGCAAGTACGGCTGCACACCCGGAGGTCCTGGGTTCGAGTCCCGGGTCGGGCCAAGTTTAGTTATTGAGTCTTTCTGTATAGTAAGCCTCCGTAACAGCCCGGAGTTGGGAAGTTGGCGGTTTTTCACCTCCGTGCCTCGGAGAGCACGTGTCACGCCTTAACTATAACCGGTCGTGTCGAGCAGTCGTCCCACCGGAATATGAGAGTGACAGGAATAGAGAGTATACTTGTGTCTGCGCGCACACGCGCTGCACTGTTGAAATATCTCCTGCGCAGTCTAGTCTCAACGAGATTGACCGCCATGACCGGAATCGGTCGGGTGGACATTATTATTAATTTTAAAACGCAAAATATTTGTAACTATGGACTTACCCTTGCTTTGTTCGGGTATGTAGGAACGCACCTAGGGAGGTACGCGGATTACAGTCAAAATTTCATGGGTTTTAATTTTTTTGCGCAGAATCCTAATTCTTTTTCCAAAATAAAAGTAGCCTAAGTTACTCTTTATAACACTATCTGCCAGTGAAAGTCCCGTCAAAATCAGTCCAATTATTGCGGAGATTAGCCAGAATAAACAGACAGACAGATGGACAAAAATCTAAAACTTGTTGTTTTCTTATAAATACTTTTACTCGCATTTAATAAAAAGCTGTTATTTTGACATTACAAACAGACCCTTCAACTTCTAAGCATCTATCTAACAATATTATCATAAATTGTCACCTAATTAGTTAAATAATAACATTTTATAGTGACCGTATCAATATTAGACATGTTTATTTCTTCAATCTCTTCTCGGGGAGCTTTTTTATTTAAGCTCACCTCGGGGTCGGGCTCCTCCTTCTTGACGACGAGCGGCTTCTCGTCCGGCTGCTCTGCGCTCACGCCGCGCGAACTCGCCTCCTCCAACTCTTTGCGTATCTATTACATATATAATACATATAAAATATAATACATAATAGACAAGCAAAAACAAATCTATCCCACGGGAACCGTACACTTTTCCGGGATAAAAAGTAGCCTATTTGTTATACTTATTCTGATGTATGAACTAAATTTATTATTGTAAAGTTTCATTGAAATCCAATCAGTAGTTTTTGTGTACTAAGCTGTATAAGTTACTAAAGTTTTTTAACTATCCCACAGGGGAATTATTTAATTTTACGGGATGCAAAATTATCTAAAATGTCGACTGGGGATATAAGGTACCACCATGCAAAATTTCATTTAATTCGGTCCAACAGTTTCGGAGATTAGCCCGTACAACGGCAACGGCAGAGGAACAAAAATTTGAGAAAGATCTGGATTTGTTCCATTTCCCTTCTTACATCCCACTGACTCGGTTTTTAGCATTTTTTTTCTAAGTACAGACATTCAACCTCTACAGTTTTATTATATGTATAGATAAATATAATAATAAATCATTATTGACAGACCTGTGATCAAAACAGGAAAATTAAAAATATATGAGTGGTACAAATTTCTCACAGGTGAAATTTCCCGCAGTAAAAAGTATCCTATATGTTGACCACCAGCTATCATCATACCAAATTTCATTAAAATCCATCCAGTGGTTTTTCTCGTGATGCGTTCCCAGACAGACAGACAAAAATCCTATAAACTATAGATTCGGTCTCTGTATTGATAATGATGATTATTTCAATAAGATTTTCAAAAAAATATTTGTTTTACAATTTATTGCATGTATTGACAAAAGATGTCAAAATTACATAATCTGTAACATTCCTTAGTAAATAAGACCATAAAATGAGTTTTATTTTTCAAATAAGATTGATAATTCGAGGATTAACACATACAAACAAACAAATTCTTCAGCTTCATATATTAATATAAAATTGATGATTGATTGTCTGTGTACAAAATTATACAACTAGCATTGGCCCCAGAAGTATCTTATGTTACCTTTTATATTAAAAAGTATAATAATTAATTGCAATTAAGGTTGCTATATAGGTATACAATTAAAAAATATTTATAGTGTGACGCTTAGTTTTTTAAACATGACCTAAATAATTTTTTAAATAAATATTCAGAAAATTAAAAAAGTACGATGTAAAATATTACCTTATTTAATTCTTGACTAGTGTCCTTGTATTTTCTCTTGTACCGATGCACTTCTCCCTTCAACTGTTGGTTGTGATTCTGTAGGGACGTTATCAGATGCCTCATCTCCCTGTTGATCGGTCCAGTTTGTTCATTAGCAGCGAGATTCTGTTCAAACTCTATCCGCAGCATCTCGTACTCTTTGCGCAGTTGACCGAGTACATCTTCTAACTGTATCATCTCAGCTCGTAGTGCTTTCTGTCTTGCTAACTCTTCACTCTGAAATTAAATGTATTAAAGGTTTATCATATAGTTACTTTAGATGTATTAGGATGAACAAAATAACGCAAGAGCCTTGATTCAGGAAACTAGGCCCTCTCCCCCAATTTGCGTTCACCTCGACGTGGTGGTGTGGGGGGTCTAATTAGCGTCCGGCAATCCAGCCGGGCGCGAAGCCAAGAAACGGACTGGGAGGCGGCCCACTTCGGTGGACGGTGTGCCATAGGTTGCTCCTGGTACTTCTCTGATAGCAGAGTGGACCGTGGGAGCAACTCTTTCGTTGTGTGGTCTGCTTCGGCAGACCTGCGGTCGGGGCGTCGTGGCGCCCCATTAAGACGGGAGGTTTAATTGGGTTTTAAAGGGGTTCTGGTTTTGCCGGTGAGTCCCATATTCCGAGCGCTGGCGACGAATTTTAGTAAGGTCCTTTTGGCAAGTTGAAATTGTAAAAAAATATAATTTCGTCAATTGACGAGTCCAGTCCCGCGAGTCTGGAAAAGCGTTTGCGGTTATTTCGTTACTGCGCAGTATATAACATTTGCAAAAAAAAAATATCCAAAAACATATATTTCTGCAACTCGATTTTTGTTTGAAAAAATCAAATTCAAAATCTGTGAAGTGGTTTTCTCGTGATACGTTCCCAGAGAGATTTGTGAGACAGACAAACAAAAATTCTAAAAACTATAGATTCTGCCTCTGTGTCGATGTAATGACTAAGAATTTTATTATATGTATAGATAACTCTCTCACTCGTTACAAGAAAACAATATATTCACCTCCATCATTTCAATCTGTCTCATGTGCAAGTTCTTAGCACTTTGAAGTTGAAGCCTTGTCTCGTCTAGCGCAGTCTTCATCTGCATGGACTCATTGTATAGCACTGAGAACTGGCTTTGAAGGCATTTGTACTCTGTTGTTTCCACTATGACAGACTCGGGTAGTTGACGGATCTGGAAATGTAATAATATTAATAATAGTTTCCGCAGTTTTATTGTACCACAAGCACAACTAGCATGGGCCATATTTCCCCTTACTATAAAAAAAATTAGGGTAAGTCTCCTCTACATTGAGGTGAAGCCCAATTACCATAGACATGCTCTTTATATGTTCCATTTTATATAGGAATTTGATGATAAAGGTGTTTATATTAAGTCTTTAGAATTTAAATATTCATTTAAAATCAAAACCCAAAGTGTATTTTTCTTTCTTTTTTTAATTATGCAATTAATTAAGATATGGTTTGATTTCCGCTTTTATAAATATTAATGATTCAATCAGTGACACTACCATTAGTACATATAGTATAGTCTCAATCAAATAATCTATGATATGGTAAAAATTCTGAAACATCATGAGTAGCTTCGTTTTGACCAGAAACTCAACTTTTTTTATACGAAAATATGATAGTGGTAGAAACAATTGTGGATTGATACGGAACATGTTGAAACTGTTGTTGTTTAAAATTTATAACAGGTTGTTTTACAATTTAATCCATAATCCAACATTAAATAGGAAAAAAATATTGTCCTACAAAACAGATGGTTTGGATCAAATCGTCCTCCTCTCTGAACTTAAATAACAACGTCATGAAATTTATTAACAACTGGCTTATTTTCAAAGTATTTATGATTAAAAATATGCATAATTGAATGATTAAATTGTCCTACAAATAAAATGGTAGCATTTCTCATTCTCGTAAAGTTTCAGCATATTTGACAAGTTAAATGAGACTATCGTTTCGGATTTTTTCGCGGATTTTATTTTGATTTTCCATCAATTGTGGCCTCTCCCGTGACTATGATTGGAAACAACGGCAACTAAAAATCAATATAAATCCGCGAAAAAATCAGAAAAGATAGTTTTATTTCTACTATAGTAGATAAAATGATAATTACTTACATCCATTTTGAGCTTTTCCAATTCCTTCAATGTGTCTCTATGCTGTCTGTGTAAGCGGTCTAGTTCAGCGAGTCTATTATTGGCAAGTTCTCTTTGTTCTTCCAATTCTGCTGCAACATCTTCTAACTTAGCGCTGGCAGCGGAATGTGGGGGGCAGGCTGTGCTTGTTGAGGGTCCGGCACTCGCTCCCCCCGACTGATGATAGCTCTTCAACTTTTCTATAGCTTCGGCTAAATGGTTTTCTAGTTTATCATTCCTGGATCGGACCTGATAGTAAAAAAAAATTATTGTCAGAATCAATGACTTTGGATTACTATTTATTGTTATATTTTTTAAATGCTCATATCGTGGTTACCTATTTCGAAATATGGACCTTTTTATTTTTGTACAATTTTTTATTTTTGTTAACTTACTGCTTATTGTGTTGGTGAAATAAATAAAAAAAATAAATGTGGTAATAATTCTAATTTACTATATATATATATACATTTATAATAAAACCCACATAGGAAAGACACAAAAAAGCTATTACAACTATACTATTTTTTTTAGTATTTTATTTTTTACTTCATCATATAAAATATTATTACCTAATTTTACTTTCATTATTTGTTATTTGTATTCACTATAACACTAATTACCTTTAGAAGTTCATATTGGAGATCATCAATTTGGTTTTTAAGTTCAGCATTTTCCGTATCCCGGCTGTTAACGGCATCTTGTAACTGTGCAACTCGCAGCGTCATAGCGTGGTGGCTCTCATGCAATGTTGTACATAAAGCTTGAAGCCGTCTGTTCTCTGCTGTCACTTCAGAGTTTGTACCACGGATCACTTCATCTAGTGATGGAGCCGGATTGCCCTCTGAGACAAAACATTTTCAGATAATGTTAGTTTTATTAGGAACAAATTTTGCAGTGAAATATTAATATTTAAGTTTTCTATTAACTATTTTAATTAAAATATAGAACTAACTCTTATTCTGAATATATTTTTTCCTAATTTTTTGTTGTGTATATGTTTTAGACTGAAATAGTACAAAGATAGGGCAGCACCTGAACAATACTACACTACACATAAATGGGTCATTGTTTTGTTAAGCGAAGCGAGAGTAAGTCATTAGTCGCAAGTATAACATATGGTATGACTTACTCTTGCTTTGTTCGGGTGCATCCCTAGTGCTTAATAGCATATGAATACATACTAGCTTATGTTCAGGTACTTTCTGTTGTTTTTTTTATTGTTAATAGCACAATAAAGGCAAATAACTGAATAAAAAATGATACATTTATCATTTTACAGCTGTGTATTTGTTACCTAGTTTCCCACCCTCAATTTCTCCACTCATGAAGCAACATTTATTCAAATCTAAGACTACTAAAACATAATTGTCAATGACAAATTTCTAAAATCATTTTTAAGTTTAACAAGATACACTAGAATCATCAATACCTTCTCCTTCTCCTTTAATAGCTCTCCAGATCTTGTCATTTCTTTGCTGTAATCTATCGAATGCTTGTAAAACTTTGGCCACTGCTCGCTTACTCACTTGCACTCTGTTAGCAAGTTGGGCATCTAGTTCCTCTTTATCCCAAGTGGAGAGCTGCATTAGAAATGAAGTTGTTGCTTCATTCTCATCTATAACATGGAAAGTCGGGTTCAAATACTGAAATAAATATTAAATTTTGTGTACATCTTAACACCTAAGAAAAGTTAAGCATTTTGGGATATAGTATGTAGAATTCGATTCATAAAAGTAAATATCAGGAGGACTTCAGAAGAAGATTTCTTAGAAAAAAAAATAAGTTAAATTTCTTAAGGACGAAGTTATTCATCAACGTTTTGAAATCTAATAATATTATTTATAGAGAAATTGTTGAAAATAATATATATGTTATTATATAAAATTGTTTGAAATTTTGTATGGAATTTGAAAAATTGCATTACTTTTATTTTCTGATTCATCAGCAGTTTCAGCATCAAAGCGTTGCAATAACACTCTGATATCCTCATTCAACAAGTTCCAGTATCTATTGACTACACACAATACAGCGTCATCTTGGGTTTGTCTTTTCTCTAGTTGTTCAATCCTAGCACGCAATTCTGCTTCACATCTGTGACGTTGTTCAATCCTCTAGAAATTTATGAATTATATTAATATTTGTTTTGGTCACTTACATTGATTTAATATTTCATCATTGAGAGTGAAACATTATGTATTTCAGAATTTTTAGTTAATTTTGATATTCTTTTATTACACAATTTAAAAAAAACACTAGAATTACAATAAACATTTAGTAAGTGGTTTTTTGAACATGAATATCATGAAAGAGATTTAATAACTATTTCTCCTTTGTTAAAACAAACAACAATCTCTTTAGACATTAAAAATTTAAAGGGGTACGAAGTAATTATATGTATATGTATGTGTATGTGTAAAATTCGTTAACCTGAACAAAACCTACTTTTATCCAAATATTCTCATTTAACAAGATCAGTAACGTACATACATACTATCAAAACAATAACATGCATACCAAATATCATATAAACGTTCTGTGTAATTCAAACATAAATTCAAACTGGATGTTGAAAAATAATTAGTTAAAAATAACAGCTGATCATGACATTATGTTTGGAGGTTTTCTTGTTTCATAACGATCATGAACATTTTTTTTATATATATTTTGCAAATACTTTATTACCTGAGCTAACTTTTTATTTTGGAATTGAAGGACTTTTATGTCCATTTCTTCAAGAGTAGATACTGGACCAATTAAGTGCGGTTCAAAGTGAACCTTTTTAATCGGCGGTTGGCTGCTGCCATTGCTTCCATCATCTGCTGTACGTTTAGACATCTTGATCTGAAAATAGATATTATTTGTTCGTATTTTCTTGAGAAAATTATACTATTGATTAGAATTATACAGGCAAACACTAAAGTACAATGGGTGTGGAAGTTTTAATATTAAACATGTCTATCAAAGTTTGTCGTGTATAATACATACCTGCTTGTCAATATTGACAATTTCGATAATATGGATTTTAGGGTAAATCTATATTACTGAAGATTTTATAGGTGTAATGTACAATAAAAGCTTTCATTTTCTATAAGCTTTATTCATTTATGTTAAAATAAATTCGTAAAATATTCAATTACAATATCCATACCACCTCAGCCAACCTAACTATACCACAGATTATAATTTATAAAAAGTGTCAAATGACAAATATAAATCTTGTTCCTCACGGCATAATCAATAATTTGTACCATAGACACATTTTGTATTAAATGGATGTTATTTCCAGTATTTTACCTTGTTCGAAAACTGACACGTTATATTTAAAATAATTACATACAGTTACAGTATTTCAGCATTGAATAATTTATAACTAAATATTAAAAAAAAATTAAACCCGAATAAAGCTTACCCAATGTTTTTTCACCCCTCATTACACGCATGCAAAGCCTGCTAATCCTTCTTTCTGAATAATTTTACTAAATGATTGGTACTTATTTACAAGAAACTCTTGCCAACTTTTACAGATAATAAAAAGAGTAGATGTGTAGTATACTGTATGTATAGTATTTTATTGAAATGGTAAATAAGAGATAGAAAGATAGAAAATATAAGGGTTCCGGTTTTGGCTTTAGAACAATTAAAATAGTAAATCAAAATAAATCAAGAGAAAGAAATTATCGATTTAGTAATTATTATAACATAAAAAACTAAACTTAGATTAGAATCGGTCATGGACAACTATATGTATATAAAAGGTTTATGTCTAATGTCTATGAATGGATAAAAAAATTTTTTTAGTAAAATATTTAATTTATTGTGCATATTACAAACTTAAAAAAAATCCCCTTAAACTATTAGAATTTATTACAGATGTATAAAAATAAATAAAAAATATGCTTAAATCTATACCGAACAATGTACAAAAAAACAATGAAAACTAGTTAATTAATAAAATGCTCTTAATTAGTGAGCATAAAATCAATTATTCATTATATTTCTATAAAATATTTGATCTTGGTACATTTTAAGAAAAACTTCATATTTTTTGTCATGGAATGACTTGATTTTTTCATTCGGATGAATAACTTCTGCTATACCTCCCATATTTTCTATAGCTGCGTGTACATTATTATAATATCGTGAAGCACAAGCCCCTAAAATGCCTGCTCCAACTAACACCGATTCTTTTTCAAGTGGCTTTAACACAGGCAAACCTACTGAATCAGCTTGTATCTGGATGAATAAGGGATCTTTTGTTATACCTCCACAGATGAGTAAAGATTTAAATGGTGTATAACCCTCTTTCATTAATGCTTCTATAATATGTCTTGTTCCATACTGAAAATAAACCAAAAACATATATATAAAACATTAATATATAAGAGTAAAAAAAAACATTATTCAGAGTACAATTTCTTACCGAAAGTGCTTGCATAGTAGCAAGATAGAGAATGGCCAAATTTTCTTCACTATTACTAACAGTCAAGCCAACAATTGTTCCTTTCATAGTGGGATCAGCTAGCGGAGAGCGATTACCATGAAAATCAGGCCATACATGGAAGTCCTTAGACAGCAAACTTACATCATGTATACCTTGATCATTTGCCATTTTTGTTAACAATGATCGTAAATGAGCCCTGACTCTAAAAGTGAAAAAAAAAAACAATATTGACATTTGATTGAAAGAATATTAAGATAAAATTTTAAAATGTAAAAAATTGAAGTAAATACATACTCTCCAGTACTATAAATATTCAATAACTTTGCACCAGCTGGATGGCTTGTAATAATATGGTCCAATAGCATTCCTGATGCACTTTGACCTGCTTCATTTAGCCACATATTAGGAACCATAGCACTGAAATATGGACCCCAAACACCTTTAACCATAATAGGTCTTGTGCTGATAGCCATATGACAAGTGGAAGTACCACATATTAAGCTTAATCTAGTCGACATATTATCATCAATGCCTTTCCCTTTTGCTCCAATCATTCCCACACCACCCGCATGAGCATCTATTATTGAGGCAGCAACCGCTGTACCAGGTAATAAACCAAGTGACTTAGCAGCTTCATTAGACAGTCCTCCACAATAATCCCCAGGCATTAATACTCTCTTGCCAATTTTAATAAAGTCATCATTACATAAATCATCAAGGCCGATTGTTTTAAGAAAATCTAAATTCCACCTATGCTTACCATCTGTTGAACATTCATAATTCCATTTACATACCAATGAACATAAGGAACGACTTAATGAACCTGTTGCTTTCCAAGTTAAAAAATCGGGAAGATCGAAAAAGAAACCATATTCTGGCCAGCTGTTTGGTAAATTTTTCTTTAGCCAAAGAAGTTTTGGCATTTCCATTTCTAAACTTACTTTGCCACCTACATATTTCAGAATTTCATGTCCAGTTTTATTAATAAAATCTGCCTCTGTTTGTGCTCGATGGTCCATCCACATAATGACATTCTGCTCATCATTGTCCGAGTTACTAACTGCTTTTGGATTGCCATTTTTATCCAATGCCACAAGAGAGCAGGTTGCATCAAACCCTATACCTATTATATTTGTCGGGCTAATGTTATGAACAACATCCTGAAATTAAATCGTTATTCATCTATACTAATATTATAAGAAGGCAACACATAAATTAAAAGATTCTGATTATGAATATCAAATAGCTTTTATTAATAGGAAGCTACATACTTTATCCCTAACGACAAAAGCAAATCTTTTTATATACATTCATAATATCTAGTAGGTAAGTAGTTTCTGGGTAATCTTAGTATATTGCAAAAAGTATAGTAGAAGCCTGCATGAACACTAGTTAATAAATTGAAGATTATTAATGCATGTTATATTAATAAACATAAAATTTATTGCGAACCTTTATAACATATTCACAGCATTTCCATATATCATTAGAAGATTGTTCATAGTAATCGGGTTTAGGTTTCCATGTTTGTAAGTTTTTAACTGATGTCTTTTTAATATGTCCCTTTTGATCAACTAATGCTGCCCGTGCACTGCCAGAGCCAACGTCAACGCCTACAAAATATATGTGCTCCATGTCTTTTTATGCTGCAAAATAAATACTTAATAAATTTTAAAGAAAGAAATTATAAATCGGTTAGATTACATGATGAATGAAAATATACTTAATTTAAACAGATTTTTGTGCAATGCCACATCATAAATTTGTAAAATTGCAATAATTATCGACTTACTCTGTCCGTACATACCTTACTCAGTTTATACATTATAATCATTAAAGTACTGTAATTGCCTGAATTATCAACAAACAAATATGTAATAAAACGGTGACCTTGATTGATAAGATGAAATGAACGTATATAATTATTGTATATCTAACCTCATAGCTACTTGAACTTTCAAATTAAATAGTTAAATTATTTATTTAAGTTTAATTCAATAGCTAAATAATATACTTATGAAAATTTTACAATTTTCGTAGCTTTAATTGGGTTATTATTTATTATAACTTATGCAATGCACAAATTTATCAATATAAATAATAAAGTCAATAGTTCTCATTACGTACTAATTCTTTTATTTGAAAAATATATTTTTGCCGCCTTTTACCATTTAAAGATATCTGTGGAATAAGAATTAAGAAATAATCTCTATGGGTGTTTATAACATAAACAAATATAAACTTAATGTGATAATACTTTAATGACAAAAGCCAAAGCCGTAACTCGTAAGCCGTTCTGCCGTTCTAGAATGTAGAGCCTTTACACTTGGCTAACCGCTAAAGTATTGAAGTTTGCACAACCTTGAACGAACATTTAGCCAAGTGTAAATTGTAAAGGCATTTAGTAATTAGTTATTTATTACTTGTATCTAGAAAACAATATTGGTTTATAATAATAAATTGTCGTTTTTAATCTTTATTTGTTTATTTAATTACATAAATATTATTTTTATACAAAATAATATTTCCATTTAAATACATTTAAAGATATAATTTTATCTCATCAGCCAACCAAATCGGACCGTGTGAACTTACCACGATACTCCCATCTAGTCTAGATATATAACTATTGTTTTTATTAAAAAAATACGTTTTAAGTGATTGGCTAGCGTTCATTGAATTGCAAGTAATACGTATTTGAATAAAATTATTGTCATACATAGCCAGTTTATTATTTATCTTATTACGTATAATAAACATTTTAATACAGAAATATCGATTTGGTATCAATAAGAAAATATAATTTTAAAACACTTATACTACAGTAAAATTAAGATGAAAACCTTCATTTACAAATTATTATAACAAACAAATTTACATTTATGATTTTTATGTTTATTTTAGATAAATAGGCGTGATCATATAGTTACGTAAACATTACTTGCAATAAATTATTTTTTTAAAGATAATATGTTACTTATATCAAAGAGGCCTTTAAAACTGCTTCCAGCTTCAGATGATTAATAATATTGGCAATACTATTTAGCTTTGTACATAAACTACAGGTTAAAATAAAACTGTAAAGAGAACATCCAACAATTTTCAACGCTATTATTTGAATCTTGCATGCTGATTTAGTTAAGCGTGAAGGCCGCTTAATGGGAAAGATTTCTTGAAAGGAGGACGCTACACGTATGATCTTTTTACATTCAGTCTCAGCTTAAGCAATTTATTATGTTAACTCTTTTGTACCTGGTTTTTGTTCGCTACTACTACTGAGCCCCCCCACCACGACAAGGTGAACGCACGTTGGGGGGGAAATTCGCATCTTACTGGTGCAAAGTATGGTATCTGGAAATTAGACCTGCTGAAGGAAGAATTGAGAAGAAGAGGTGCATCCTGTGGTGGTCTTAACTGACTGATGGATCAACACACAGCATAAGCCGCTGGTCATGCGTAGCATCTCTATATAGTTTGTGCGCTGGTCGTAGAAACGTGAAATTTGGAGGAAGTATTCCATATGACGTAGGCATCCGATAAGAAAGGATTTTTCGAAATTCATCCTATAGGATATCCTTAGTGGGTAAAATAGGGGATTAAAGCTTATATGAAACTCTGTCATTCTTAATATGAAATACAAAGCTCTTCAATACAATTAAGAAATATATCTTTTAACATTTTTTGAAATTTAATCCCAGAGATTAACTGACAGTCTTCAGTTTTTGTCTTTTGGGAACAAATAATATCCATTTTCTTTGCATCCTGGTACTGCACAATTTGTCATCTCACTGAAATTTAAATAAAACGAAAAAAAATCATCCCTTCTATAAAACTTTACTTTCTGAGAATCAGTGATCGCGGCATATAGCGGCAGAAAAGTGCAAAATTATTCAACTTTCATCTTTTCCTTTTTTTTTCTAAAACTCTTGCGAGTCAAGGCTATTTGCTTATCTGTATAAACTCTATGGCGCGATCTGTCTTGTCATCCATGATCTGTCTCAACTCTCAAGTCAAATGTCAATTTGTCGAAACCTCAAGTCAAAATATTTGATTCATACATGAACTATGAATAATAAAATTCAAAGCATGGATGACTATTGACTAATAAAAAATTATCTAGCAGCATAAATAAAAAGATTTTATGTAAATAATCAAACTATTCGACATATTTCTTTTCCATATTTTTAAAAATATACTTTTTGTATTAATTTAATCATGGTTAGATTTAAAAATAGGTAACACAACGAATAGTAAAAAATAACAAGATTTTTATTCATGTAATATTGAATAAATAGAATACAATAAACTTTATAATTTTTTCAGGTATATAACTGTGGAAATACAAGCACCAAAAATTCCTGATTGTAAGCCTTTATATTTTAAATCAAAAATATTATACGATACACTAATCGAGAAGATTCAGCAACTACATGGAGATTTTGGTGTGGCTGCCGTTAAAACTGGTTTAGTGGCTAAATATTGTAACGAAAACACCAGAATAGCAATTATAAGATCAAGACATGGCCCTCATAGATTTGTAACTAGTAGTTTACCATTTATAACAAAAGTAGGTAAACTGGATATTACTTTAAAAACACTTCATGTAGGTGCTACAATGAAGCATAGTTTTAAGTTTATTCAAAAATATCAAAGATCATATTTAGATTCCATGTGGTCACAATTGAAAACGGATGAGGAAAGAAAAGCTTTAGAATCAGCTGTAATGGACTTTACTAAAACAGATGTTTCACTAAATATTGAAAATATAGGCTAATGATTAATAATTATTTAGAACATGTGTTAATTACTAAATAAAACTTCACAATAATTACATATTAAAATGTAGATATCTATTGGCCATTTGTACTGAATAAAATAAAAGTTAAAAATGTTAAATATGACAATGTTTTTTATGTTGGAACATTATTTATGTTGGGTTTATTTACAACTGTAAATATGTTTAGCAACTATGTATACAGTATAATTAAAGACATAATTCAATTTTTTAGTTTCATGGCTTCTAGGACAATTATAAAAATTACATTAAGAATTTAGTGCATTTGGCCTTAAGATAACAATTTTATGTTTTATGTAACTATATAAATATTAACTTTATTTAACAAAAATTTAGTCACCTAAAAATTTAGTAAACTATGATACATGTTGTACTTATTTTATTATTTTATATAAAATACAAGGTTAAGAAAGAATTTCATAAAATATAATAAGCTCTAAGTAAATGATTATATTATGACGAATAAATGATTAGAACATATTTTTTTATGATATATACACAATAAAGATAAATTAAGGTCTGTATAAAAATAGTTTTTTTCGTAATGTTGACTCAAATAATGGTACTTGAGCACGTCTGAGTTCTGTACATACTGATGAAACAGAATCAGTAACTGATGTAAAAATATTTAATAAATCCTCTTGTTTTGCTCTTTGTTTGATTCTGCTACACAGAAATTGTATAAATATTGAACCCAAGTTTTCAATTCTGAAGGCCTCATATTCAGGAGCAGTGGCCCAATAGATGAGGAAGTGTGTCTTTTTCAAGTATTTATCATATGAACTTGGCCCATCGGCAACTAATTTTGTATCTATTTCAGTTTCTTGTTCACTCTGACAAGCTTGAATGATTAGTACCTTAGGTATACCATAAAGTTTATGTGATTCATCAGAATCTAACAAATTTTGTATATCTTGAATTTTAATTTTCATCGAGTCTGCTGTATATATATGACCTCTTACTCCGTGAGATAAAATACAAAGCATAAATATACTATCTTCAGGGTGAATTTTATTTTGAATCACATCTTTCAAAAATTGAAATACTTCCGTATGTCCTAAGTTAGATTTACTTATTACAACAAAATTAAGGTCTTTCATTGTTTTTTCTAATGCAATAACATCATGGCTAGAACCCATACGATCAGATAAATTAATCTTGTTATGAAGTTGAATGCTCCCTTTACTTGGATAAAAATTTTCTTGATTTATAATACAACATAAACCCACTCTATTACGGTTCTTTATTATATAAGCATCATTTTGAAATTGAGTATCAGATTTTAAATTAGGCATGGGTTCCTCACCCATTTGTAATTGATTCAGAATGTCATACATTTCCATAAAGTCATCTTTTTTAAATTTAGACGTTTCTCCAGAGTTGTTTAAATCTGACTTATACTTTTTAACTAATGTGTTACTACTTTGTTGCTGATTAATATTGCTATGATTATTTAATTGACTTTGTATTTCTTTTATAGTCAATGCAAATTCTGTGAGGCCATTGAAGCTCTCAAGTATTCCTACAAGTTGATCCATCTCATATTTGTTAGTGTATGTTTTCATATCTGTACTGTATTGACCCAATGTAATAAACTTTTTACATATGAGTTCTAAGAAAAGTACTTCAGTAGCTTCACAATTTGAAACATCAATTTTATATGATAATAAAGTTTTTTTCAATTTAGTCATATGTTTAGTTGTCATGGATTCACATAATCTGTATAAAACTTTTTTCATTGGATCGATATAAATATTAACATGAACATTTTCTGGTAAATAATGTTTCTTTATATTACTTACATTAAATCCCAATTTTCTTATAACATTATAAAGGCGACAAATTGCAAGAGCTTCTAAGAATTCATATTTCCATGTCGGACGACGTTGAGCATACACTGCCCACTCATAAAGCAAATTAATATGATTAACTGCAATATCTGTAGATACTCTTTGATAAACAATCAGGCGTTGCAAAGCGGTTTCGGGAAAATCGTATAACAAAAATACCAATGATATAATATCATCTGGACTGATATCCTCTTGTACTTTTAAAATAATATCAAGGTCAATAGTATTAATATTTTGAAATAATATATCCTCGGTTCGAGTTTCTGCATCTGATCGTAGCATTTTGAATAATTGTTTCACTCACAATTTATAAACGAAATTGGATAGTAAAATATAATTAGCGAATAAAGTATACACTCAAATAACAATATTAGTAATAATTCTATAACTAGAGACACGTTCTTATAAGATATTCTCCTTTCCTTATTGCATATAATCACATACACATATAAATAAAATACTTAGATAATCGACAGTTTAATGTTAATGACAATAATACGTTCGAAACGACTATCAAAGTGAAGAGCTAAAGGATTATTATCAAACAAAGAATCAATATAATATGAAATTAAATAAACTTCACCGTGTGATTTAAGTATTATGAAATCAGTATTGAAATAATATATTTTATGTGATATTTTATGCAGACATATTGTATCTATAACATTTATTTAGTATTTAGGGTATCAACGATTTATTTAACGTGTTGAGGCCGTTCCGATCATTCCGAACATGTCATTACGAAACGGGATTTCCCAAAGTATTAATCATTACAAACAATGTACCTATTATGTATTTTTATGATTATAGGCATTTAAATATAAATAGCATGGAGTAGTCTATAAAATATAAACTGTCCTAATGAACATAAGAATTTCCGGTATTAACAAATTGTCATTTTTCTTAGAAAATAAAATAAATATACCAACGATTCTATTCCATCATCCATGTCGCTTTTATTCCATTACTTTACTTTACGAACGTGACATAACACACATTTTTTTATTTAAAAATCGCTTTAGTCAGATAAGCGTAAGTTCAAAATTGTGTTTAGACGTTCAATCTGAACGTTACATTTCGACGCCATTTTTCGATGAGATATTCGTGTATTTTTTAGTTTTATTTCAATGAAGCAAGCTTTAAATTAGTTAAATGCACTAGCCAAGTGAGACGTAAATTCTGCTGAGCTATAATATTATTACAGAGATTTAGATTTGGAATACAGACAGCTTAATGCGCTATAGGTATAACGGTAAACTGAGCTGTCTTCTCAAGTCTAAGCTGCAGTTGAGTATTTTGTGACAGAAAATTACTGTATTATCAGATCTATTTTGATCCAAAGGAGATTTGAACCTGCAAACTCACAATTTGCAGCCGTACATGCCAGCTAGTAGGGCAACGACGTAGTATTTCTACATAGTTTGTGGCAACGACGCAGTCTGAAAATCCATAGTTCATAACAGACCTCAAGATCTCTTAATCTATATAGTCTGTATTTTTTATTTGTCAACATCACATGTCATTGTCAATTGTCATTCAATATTGACAATTCAATTTGTCAAATACATTTCTCAATCTTTTAAGTTTTCATTTCTCAATATTTTATGGATTTTATGTATTCTTGTTTAAATATAAATTATGTCTATTACTAAAGTAGAAGTTTTGAGACTTTATAAAAACTTGATGATATATTCTAAATCTCTGAAATTCACGGACGTTACATATTATAAAAAAAGAATAGCTAGTGAATTTAAGCGTAATAAAAGTCTTGATAAAGCTGAAGACATAACTTACGCATATAAGGTAAATATCAATACTTATTATAAAATAAAGTCCACCTGTTAGCGTCTGTTTGTCTGACTGAATGCGATAAACTCAAAACTACCTGACTGATTTTATACGCTATTCACTAATGGACGGAGTGATTCATGAGAGAGTTTAGGTGTACATTTCATTAAGGGTTTGTGTAATTGACTAAAATATGATGATGGTCATAACAAAAAATCATGCCAAAACAATATATTATTCAATTATTCCTCTTAAAAATATTATTTAACTAGCAAAACTGTATGTACGAACCTCAAGCAAACTAGGGAAGTCACTAGTTTTAGATATAATATTGTTCATAAAATTGTATATGATTAAGTCTGAATAACCTCTGCTAATTAAATGAAGAAATATCCATTTATCCTTATTATTTGTTTAATGCAATTACATTACCTTAATAAACATCTCATTTAGCTATTTTCGATTAGACAAACTATATCTACTTATTGAAATATTTTCCTATTGTAATTTTCAGAAAGGGGAAGCTTTGCTGCTAAGAGGTTCTATTGTATAAAATGTTGGGCACAAGAAATATATTATTATTCCAGAGATATTGGAATCCATTCATTAGATTATATGCATCAAAACATACCATAGATTACACACAAGTACCAAAAATTAATGAAAGTGACTTGATAGAAAATTTCGTAAGAGGATCAGGACCCGGTGGGTCTGCTGTTAATAAAAATTCTAATTGTGTAGTTCTCACTCATCTTCCTACAGGTAATACTGAATGATTGATATATCAACATGTATTTATAATGCTTTTATGAATATGTTTTTTCATGATATCTTAAAATTTACACTTTAACTTATGCAGAGTTAAGTCTACAGGTCTTTGTTTTGTATTGTATAATCATTAAGGTTATATGCATGATGAATTAAAATGATTTCTCCACTCGTGCTTGTTGATCAATAATAATTATTTTAATAATTTGACCAGGTGTTGTCGTCAAGTGTCATACTAGTCGATGTCAGGATGAGAATCGAAAAAACGCACGTGAAATGTTAGTATCAAAATTAGATGAAATATTAAATGGTAAAAACAGTGTGTCAGCTCAAAAGAAAAGGTTAGAAGAGCAGAAATATAGAAAAACTGAATATAAAAAGAAAAAAAAGGCTCAACTTAAAGAAGAATGGAAGAAAAGGGAGGGATTGCTCTAGTTGTTTGTAAAATTTGTATAATAATGTTTACTTTTCAATCTTAGTTAAAAGTTTTATTATTAAAATAGTACTAAATAATTAATAGGAATTATAAATAAATATTAAAACTTTGATTAGTTTGTTTTTCTATTTAGTTATATTTAGCAATTTTACAATATAAAAAATACAATAAATACAACCTTAATTACAATAAGATCCTTAGTTAGTGCTTGATCATTATATAATAATAATTAATAAAGTGTATATTTGTAATATACTACTCAACATTGAAATAATAATTACAGATCAAATAATAATGTTATACTGAAATTAAGGACATGGACTGTTCAAATTTGCTATGAATATCTATGAATATCTAGAAGAAACTTATGAGCTTATCATTGATGTGACTGATTTTTTATCTATAAATATAATAAAACTCTAACTAAGCCGAATCTGTACTTTAAAATTTTTTTGGAAATCTTATTGATATAGACATTATTATCAATATAGAGGCCAAATCTATATTTTTTAGATTTTTTGTCTGCCAGTCTGGGAACGCATCACGAGAAATCCACTGCACAGATTTTGATGAAATTTGGTATGATAATAGCTGGTTGTCCAGGTCAACATATAGGATACTTTTTACTGCAGGAAAATATCTCATCTCTGAGAACTATACTAAACGTTAAAACGTAAGTAGGGACGACTCCAAGCGCAGCGAGGTTGATTCGCTAACAAAATTGTGTAATTATAGAACTTTGTTTTAAAATCCATTGTCATTTTTTGGTTTGGGATAATTTTTACAGTTAGGACATATAGGTCTCATCAAGAATAATTAAAAAGTTCAAATAGATGTCCATAGATGGCATTATATGCATTAATTTGTTTTTTATATTTTAGTAAAAATAACAAAATAAAAAAAAAAATACTTTAAGTAAAAATAAACGAAGTGATGTAAGTGAATGATGTGTTTATAAATCAAATTTGGGTCATTTTATTTGACTGTTTGTTTATCAGTCAGTTTTTCATTTTCACAGTCCCAACAATATAAGTAACACAGTTTGCGAATTAACGACATCTATTGTCTATTCAAGCAAACCAAAAAAGCCTCAAAGTTCAGATTTAGTTGTCCAATATTTTTGTATGGGATTGGGCTCTGTATATCTGTACCACAGATGACATAATACTGTACTAGTACAAATGCCTCATCCGATACAAAGAAATTGGACAGCGGTAATTCGGACTATTCTTCGGGTTATTTTTGTTTGCTTGAATTAATAATAGATGTCATTGATTCGAAGATATTTAAATTGATTTATTTTATAAACTAGCATTGCCCGCGGCTCCGCCCGCGTTCAGATGACCAAAAACCAAATTCTTAGGTTTTACATATTAGTATACTCTTTTAATGCAGTTTTTGTATTTTTTTTCTCAGAAATGAGATATTTTTCTGCGGTAAAAAGTATCTTACATGTTGACCCAGATAACCAGCTATCACCATACCAAATTTCTTCAAAAGTGGTTTTTCTGTGATGCGGTAACAGACAGACAGACAAAAAATTAAAAAACAATAGATTCGGCCTTTGTATCTATAATGTATAACGTCTATTGCAATAAAATTTATTATATATATATATATATATATATATGTATATATATATATATATATATATATATATATATATATATATATATATATATATTAAAAATGTATAATGTAAATTCTAAAAGAACCTTGAAACATACTGATCGTCTTTATTTACATATTTTGACTACATAAAAAGGTACCAAATTTTGTAATCATGGTCATTTTATTCGTTTTACCTATTTTGCATTATATTGTGTAAGCTACCTTTTTCTGCTGATATTAAAATAACACTAGCGATATGTATACAACTTCCCTATTTGTATCGTATACTATTACATTTTTAATTGGTTTTAATTTTTTTTCGTGGGACCCTATTTTTTTTTCTAAAATAAAAGTAGCCCAAGTTACTCCTTATTACATCAGCTATCTGCCAGTGAAAGTCCCGTCAAAATCGGTCCAGCCATATCAGAGATTAGCCGGAACAAACAGACAGACAGACAAATATTGTAAAAAAATGTTGTTTTGGTATATGTACCGTGTATACATCCATATGCATTTAGTAAAAAGTTGTTATTTTGACATTACAAACAAACACTTCAATTTAATTTATCTGTATAAATTATTTTTTTTTACTATACTTCACTAATATATTTAAGAACATTAAGTAGTCTAATTACTAAATTGAATGAAAAGTGCGAGGATTTATATAATTAATTATTATTAATTTATTAACTTAATATTTTTTTTGTACTACCTACTAGCGTTTGCTCTGGAAAGTTTAGGTATATTATTATTATATATTTATATTATTATATTTATATTTTTCAAAGTATATGGAAGTCACGCCTCTCGTGTCACTTTAATAATCATTCAATGGAGAAGATTATATCATTTCTACGCGACATTGGCGAAGTAAATTGTGCCCAATTGGCACTCCTGGAAGCAGCTAAACAAAAGAATTGAATTGAAGATTATTATAAATCATAAAAATATCTTTGAATTTCTCTCCCTATTAGTATTGAAAATATAATGTAGGTACCACTGTATAACCTAATAATAAACTAACTTTTTATTTTATTTATCTGTGCCTTTAGTACAGATTTCTCAGATCACGGCGAGTGTGCACCTACTATTACATTTGGCTTGGCACCGACTTCAAACCTATCAATAGGTAGCACATACAAATAATAGTATTTTATTAATTTTAAAGGTATTAGGTTTGGATATAAGGTGTATTAAGTTAAATCTTTATTAAGTTATTTTATACTTTTTAGTTTTTGAAGTCGGATTTTTAAACGTAGTTTGTTTTATTACCAATGAGATTTTATTTCTTTAACTTTTTCTAAATATGTATTTTCCTTCATGGCAGGGGGATTATAATGGACCCGCTTGCATCCCCTCTCGCAGCATTTATTACTGCTTATTATCTAAATAAAAAATATAATTAAGTCTGTTTACAACCGATTGTGAGAGTGGAGAATGCAAGCTATAACTTTTTTTATAATAAACAGTCCATGTTGTTTTATATTAATTTAGGTGTATATCCTACAGTATATCTACGCCTTAGTGGGATTACAATTATACTACGTTACGGCTACAGCGAACTTAATGAAATCCGAGAGATATAGGCTCGGGAACCAAGCTGAAGAATCTGCGAGTAGAAATTGTGCCAACAAGGTTGTAATTATGGAAATTAATGTGTAAAATGAATTAAAATGGAGTTCATTATTTAAATAAATAAATATTATGTTGCGACGTTAACTCACAGCACCATCTAGTTCCATGGTAAGCTACGAGGCCTGCGTTATGGATACCAGATAGTTGATAACTTTAAGTACATACAAATTATAAATATAAACACCCATGACTGGAGTACAATCACATCATTCACCACACAAATGAATGCCCCCGGCGGGACTCGAACCCGCACACACAGCAAGTAGGGTCACTACAAACTGAGCCAAACGTGTTATCCTTATTTGCTTTTGTTTATCCAAAATATATTTTCTAATATCTTATATAAGTAGACTTCATATTTACGATAATAAATCATCACCAAATAGGTTGAATAAAATAGTAGGTATATTCCTAATAATTGTATGTAGACCTAAGTGCCTTGTTCACACTGTTCCGACCTTGACCCAAATATCGAGTTCTGTGTGCCCTACAATTCTCCCGGCTCGGTTTCAAAATGCGATTGGAGCTTAAAAGATGAGGTAATTACGTTGAAACATGTTGTGTTAAGCTGGCTATCCTATCCGTTGCTCATGTCCTGGCACATTAAAGTAATGACGTGGTCTATATTTCAGCTATATAATAGATAGGCCCATGATGGATGGCGTGGCTAGGAGTCGTGGATTTGATGTCCGTACAGTAAGAAAGGTTTGTAAAAGTGTCATAGATGTTTGGTCCAGATTTGGTTGATAAAAGAAGCTACAAAATGCATTGCTGTTGAATATATAATTTCACAAATTCTGCGATGAAGAAGATTTATATTAGGGTTTTAGATTTAGAAGATTTATATACGTATGTGTATATTTAATTGTTTAATATATATAATATACGTAATACGTTTGTATTAAGGTTTTACGTATATGTATATTTAAATTGTGTTGTCGTCTGTTGTGGTTGGAGTTTAAGATTTGACACCGAGAATTATATCTTTACCTCGTACAAGTGAAATAAAAAGATAAATCACAGTCTTTTGACCCACATATCCCCTAGCCTCTCAAATTGCTCCTTATGAATTATTTACACTTTTGACCTTTGGCTTAATATGAAAGCTCTTTGCTTAAAATTTAACTGCCTTATATATTTACAATACTTTTTCATCTGACCTATATTTATGTATGTATGTATGTATGTATGTATGTATGTATGTATGTATGTATGTATGTATGTATGTATGTATGTATGTATGTATGTATGTATGTATGTATTTAGGATGATGAAACTAGCTATAATATTAACTTAATTAATACCTATTATATTGTAATTTTTCAATTATTATTTAAAAATCTTTAATAATAAAACTTCTTTTTTCGATTTGGAGGAACCCTCAAATAAAATGTTACCATTAAACGTAAAGTGCTTTAAAATTACATGAAAAAATCAACATCAGATTCATTGATTTGTTTAAGTATGATAAGAGCTTTTACATAAATAACTACAAAGAAAGTGCAGAAAGCTTCTAAAAATAAGCGTTTCTGCGATGTTCTACGGAAAAAGAATTGTAGACTTCTTTATTTCGCATTGGGTAAGAATTTGTGGGTGGTCTTTATTATCTAACAACTATAACTTTGAGTAGGTACTGACTATAAACAAGTATAAAAATATAGATATTACATGGTATAAAACTTCTGTAATATCTACTATCCATACATTATAAATGTGAAAGTGTGTTTGTTTGTTTGTTTGTTTGTTTGTT